GCACCCCTTTAAGGCAACCCATCCTCTGAACGTCGTTTGTTACCCTGCAGTGAGCACCACCGCTGTGCTTCTGCTCCAACTTACCAGGCGAAGCGTGTTGACTTGAGAGGGACTCCTTCACCCAACAGTCCTCCTTCACCCAGAAGACCATCGAGACCAAGTAGACCTCCATTGCCTAGTAGACCTCCTTTTCCAAGCAGCCCTGTGCCAAGCAGACCTTTCTCTCCAAGAAGGCTTTTATTGCCAAGCAGGCCATTGCCGAGGAGGCCATTGCCGAGGAGGCCATTGCCAAGGCCTTCCTCACCAAGGATGCCTGTGCCAAGCAGACCGCTGCTGCCAGGTTGTCCTCCTGCAACAGTCAGACCTCCTTTACTGCCCTGGCTTTCACTGCCCAGAAGCCCTCCTCTCCCAAACACACCCATGCCAAGTAGACCTTCCTCACCCAGGAGACCTGTGCCAAGCAGCCCAGTGTTGCTGGATTTATTTCTTGCATCAAGAGGACCTCCACTTTCTTGTCCACTCGGATTTCCTCTGCCAAGGAGGCCAGTACCAGGTAGCCCACCTTCACCAAGAAGGCCTGTGCCAAGCAATCCACCTTTTTTGCTGATAAGACCTTTGCTGCCGAGAAGACCAGTACCGAGCAGACCTGCACCAAGGAAGTCCCAGTTACTAATCAGACTTCCACTGTTGGAAAGATCACGTTGACAAGAAAGGTTGGTTCAGCTACGTTAGGTTGACTTGCTTGTGAGATCTCACCAGGACCCCTGAGGACCCTTGCACAAAGTTGGGTTCCCCATGGAGGCGAGCCTGCCAGGAGGCAGGTCCCTGATGAGCAGAGGGATGCTCCACAAGCCTGACGTGGCACAGGACACACCGGGACTGAGGTGGGCACGTGGCTGCCTGTGCCATGATGCTCCCCTGGGAAACATAGAAAACCTCTGAGCTCACCATCTTTGGGTTGCGCTGGGCTCAGTCCAAGGACACTGCCCAGGTTGAGGAGGCCCTGGGAGCAGGGCAGGAGGCCTCCGAGAAGGATGAGGCACCAGAAGGGCAGCATCTCCTGACCCAGCACCTGTGGAGAGACGCACATCAGCCCAAGCACCAGTCCCACCACATGGGAATCAGTAGCCTGGGCACTGGTCCGGCTCTCCATCCTTTACGTGCGCTGTCCTGGGGCAGTGGGGCAAGTCCCCCCTGGACATACAGCCCCCAGGCACCACTCCTCCAGCCCCAGGGGACCAGCCTAGGCCCGCAGCACCCTTTTCCCACCCAGAAAGGTCAAAGTGCTGCTGGTTATCAGGGAGCAACTGAAGCACGGTGATGTGCTGCTCCGGAGCCATCGATGTCTCCATGCCTGGCTGGGCTACCCCGCTGCAGAGCTGGGTGCCTGCCACGGCAGGGAAGCTCGGACGGAGAAAATGCCATTTTAAGGAGAGCAAGAGGGACGGAGATGAGGCAGGAGGACCTTGCACTGAGAGAGACGGATGGCTTCCTACTGCTCCGAAATGGTCCTGAAAGAAGAACAGTGAAACAGGCACAGCTGGATAAAAAATAGCGTGTGTCAAAGTCGTGTCCTTCTCCCCGTTACGAAGAACACCTTGTGTGGTTAAAGCTCAAAGCACAGCCAAAATCAGACTCACTTTCTGTGGGCAGGTTGTTTGTTTTTCTCATCTCGCCCCATTCCGACTATGAAAAGAGCGCATTTTCCCTGTATTTGATCTGCCTCTAGTCAAAAGAAAGCACCTTCAAGGACCTCGTGTTCCCGCATGAGCTGGACTTCTTGGGGTCGCAGCCAACGCTGTGGAGTGTTTGTTTAAGCACAGAGAGGTATTTGCAGAGAAATGAAAAGAAGCACCCGCTGAAGCACCGCCTTAGGTCCCGGTTTAAGGGAGCACCCACCTGCACAGCCGAGCACCCGGCTGAGAATAACAGCGTACGGGCTGCGGCTGCTGAGGTTCGGCACTGAGGAATAGCGTTATTTAGGTCAGACCGAACAACTTCTTTGTCTGTTCCAGATACTTTTAAAAAATCCCTCTATGACAGTTCTCGGCACAATTAAATTAGACTTTAATTCAGTAGACTGTCTTTTACATTTTCCCTTTGATCAGCATGTAATGATGCACAGCTCCTGTAGCTGTGATTATTGAACAGGGGAGAAAGGCAGAGGCTTGAGCAGCTTCCATTGAAAATCGTGTCAAATAAAATCAGTGGGATTTGTTGGAGGGTCTCTGCAAGACATGCACAGCATTGTAAAAGGATACTAAAACGGTTTTCAGGTCTCTCAGAAGAGCTGTTAGAGAGAAACGTGACAAAGTAGACGACGATCTCTGCAGTTATTAACAATATCTATCGGGTTGCTGCCTCCTCGGTCACGCGTATTTAAGCGAGCTGAACGTCTTGCACATGCAAAAATGCATGTATGGCTTTGCAGATAAACACTTGTTTGATACCAGCTGAGATGAGAACTGATAAGCTCAAAATTGTTCTGAATTCTGGTCACCAAGATCATGAAAAAAAAAATTCCTAGTCATTTCTGCTAGCTTAGTCATTATAACAAACTTAACAACAACAGAAATAAGCGTGGAATTTGACAAGCAAGAGCTCTACTAGCTTTAAAAATTAATTTTCATAAATGATTAAATGCTGCTACAGAAATCAAAGGAAAACATCATTAAAATTCTTGCTTTTAAAGCTGAGCTACACTTTGCCGTAGGTCGTCTAATGGGAGAGGAGCTCCGTGGCCACGGTACCTTCGTGCCGCTTACCTGGAGCCCTTTGATGTCGCGGTGCAGCTGCCCACGGCCTCTCGGCAGGAGCGGCGCTTATATACCCCAACTGCAGGAACGAGGAAAGCCCAGGGGAGGATGAGGCAGGGATAGTTCCTCTTCGCTGGCTGTGAAGTGTGAACCCTGCGCCAGCCTGACCCCGAACGCCCCATGTAGCAGCACCGGCCCGTGGCCA